ATTAAACAATTCTAGTGGTGTATCAGGTGGTCTATACCAACAATTTATTAAAAAGGGTTTAGATTTTGGTTTAGAGATTTCGATTGTGATTGTCTCAAGGTTTTCGTCAAATAGATCGTCTCTTTTTATGTAGTTTATTGAATTTCGTATGTAAATTGCTACGCCTCCGCCATGCCGGTTTCTGTCTTAGTAAGAATTAAAGGTGTTAAGTGTATTTTAGGTGATAAGAGGATTCAATACATTCCAGTAAAATTGTTGTTACAATTATTATCAAATTTCGTTAGTTTAAATATTATCATAATATACTGATTACAGTAAATATGGCCCATATTTAGAGGTTTATGAACTGGTAATAATAATACCTTTCTTTTGAATCACGGCACGATTTTCTAAGTTTCTCTTTTCACTCGGACCTATATGATAATGACACTGTTTAAATATAGTGTACGACGTGGAACAGTATTCCAGGTGCAACCAAGCATGCAAAGTCCATCATGCAAAGGCGGAGAGAAACACGGTTATATCATATATCAAGTGTCTCAGCATCTTGAGAAAACTTAGCATGCATGCAGGGTACGCAACAACAACGACGACAGTGACAATAATTATACCTGCAACTGGCACTTGCTCTTGAATCCCGATAGCATTTTCTGACTTTCTCTTTTTATTTGAACCTGGGTATGTTAAAACAAGTAGAGGCGGAGAATAGCATAATAATGATAATTTTGCGCATAAAAAATACAACTTTATTAAAACAACCTATATATTATACAGTAAAAAGGGAATGAAAATGGTGATTATGTGTCTACATGCATATGCATGTTCAAAGTAATTAATTTCAACAACATAGTAAAATATATTAAAGTATACGTCTAAAACCACTAAAATGTTTACAAAAAGGATCAAATTAATGGTAATAATAATAATATATTAATAGTGAATTTGTATTATTAGATTTTCGCCGAAGAAATAACAATGCATCACTGCATGCTATTCTGTATTAAATTATTAAGGTTCAGAGGGAGTTTTAAAGAATGGTAGAATAAAGGAAAGATGACAGAGAATGGAAATTATAAGTTGAGCTAGGATTTGGAATATCAACAACCGCTAAAAGGCCGTATATGTAAGCAAAGGCATTTGAAATACGAAAGAACAAAGCTTTACGGTCAGGATCCTACCGATTGTAATTCGTACGTAGGAGATGGTGTATGAAACGAACAATAATGCAAGTTCAAGCAACTATAACGATGAAGCAAGAAAGGCAGCCTGTGAGATTTTAAGAACTGTGTGATTCGAGAGTGAAAGTACAGTAAGAATTAAAGGTTTGAAGTGCATTAGTACAAGAAGATTCAATACACTGCAGTAAAAATTTTTGTTACAATTATTGTCAAACTTTGTTGGTTTAAATATTTTATCATAATGTAGTGATTAAAGTAAAAGGGACTATGCATGTTTAGGGCTTTTTGAACTAGTAATAATAATTCCTTGCTTTCGAATCACGGCAAGATTCTCTGATTTTCTCTTTTCACTTGGACCTAAATATGATAATGAACACTAAGTTCTTTGTATGTTTGCATGCATGATGATAAAATAAAATAGTTTTGTTTGTGGAAACACCACGTAAATTTATTACTGCAAAGCTTTCGATCCGTAAGCCCGGATCTTCATCAGTGCTAATAATATGTAGATATTATTAGCACTGATGAAGATCCAGGCTTACGGATCGAAACTTGCAGTAATAAATTTACGTGGTGTTTCCACAAACAAAACTATTATAATGAACACTGTTTAAATACAGTGAACGATGTGGAACATTATTCCAGACTCAACCAAGCATATGCAAAGTCCATCATGCAAAGACGGAGAGAAACACGGTTATATCATATGTCAAGCTCTTCAGCATACTATGAAAACTAAGCATGCATGGAGCAATTGTAGGTCATTCATGCATTCACAAACAGTTGACTAAGTTGCTGAGCAAGAATAGCTCTACGGAAGTATTTTAACATAAGGAAATGTAACGAGAGGAAAATACTGGGTTTTTTTAATAAATACTAGCAACAATAGCAGAGGCATAACCAGGATATTTGGTCAAGGGGGGCCAGCAAAAACCCAGTTGGGGCCAAGCCGCCAGCAACTCGAGACGCAAAGTTCGCGCAAGGCATTCTGTGCAGTGCTGGGTAAAATTAATTGTCGACAAAAGCAATATTTCACCGAGCCGGCGTTAAAAATTCACTGGCAAGGAATAAATTGGTTTAAACTTCATCTAACCCTCATTTGATATATATTAAAATAATTAGGGTTACAAAAAGTATGTGTTTCAAGCTGTCTGCCGCAAATAAGCGAACAAGGTTTTAGGTTTCACACTGATGCGCAGCAAAGCATATATTCTATAGAATTTTTGCGTCATTGACAGCATGAGGCTATATAATGAAGGATTTCCTTTTTTATTCAATTCATTTTATCAGAGCGAGGAGTAAAATTTTGCCAGGGGTGGGGTGGGGTGGGGGGTAGGACCACTGTGAAATAGTTACTTCATAGTCCTAAAATACTGTTTTTGAAAACCGCGCCCGATTGGTATAGGACGGGCATTCTCCCCTTGATATATTAACAACTTCCCTTTGATCTTTTTTACCTTCCTTTTGGGCTGATGTGCTAGATGTGTGGATAATTTTGTTGCTATCCTCATGTGTATCTAAATCTAAAATTTAAAAACACAGTCACCCAGGAATAAAACATATTTACCACATATGATCTACTAAACGCCTTAGGCATTCATCAAAACACGACTGCTTTTGGAAAAAGAATCAACACCAGAATAACCAGAAAAATACCCAAAAAGTCACTTAAATATCTTGGGAAAAAATAGCTTAAGGTGGCTCCCTACGGTCAACAATTGCTATATGTTAAAAGACAAAGAAAGTCCGATTAGAAAAAATTAACATAAAAAGAGTTCGTTTGTGATTTTGAATCATTGTTATGGTTTTTAAAAGTTTCTATTCTGCAAAATAGTCATTGTTACAAATTATTACGTTTTCCGTATTTGAAAAATTTTGGCATGAAAGAATTTTTTTTAAATCACGAAAATAATTCAAAATGTTAAAATAATTATTCTATAAAATAAAAAAGAGAGTGACCGACCTTATTTTCGTGTTAAATTACGTTAAAACAAAAATATCTGTCACATTGAAATGCTATTGTTGATATAAGAACGGCTGTTAAGAGTAAATTTTTAAAAACTGCGAACTCCTTAGTTGTTTTATTCAAGTCGGACACTGTTTGTTTTTTAACAATAATTATTGTCTAGAAATTCAAGTCCAAATCAGAAAATCTTTCATTTTTAAAAAGTGTATGTTTTGAAAGAAGCGAACAATCTTACTATATGCTTACCAATCATTAGTGACAATACTCTAATTTCCTCTCTTGCTTTACTTTCTTCAACTCTAAGTCCTTGTTTTTGTGCAATTTGTAAGCCTTTCTGATAGTATTGAATAGCCTTTTCAAACTCATGGTTCATTTGACAAGTTTCTCCTAACTTAAATAATATACATTTGTTTCACGTTCTTTACACTCTTGCTCCTTTTCAACTTTTAAAACTTTCTCCATATACTCAATTGCCGTTTGAAACTCGTTTTTGGATTTATAAGCATCTCCTAACCCATCTAATGCGTTTATTTCCAGCTCTTTATACCCTTGCTCCTCTGCCAATTTCAAACCTTTCTCCAAATATTCAATTGCCGTTTGAAATTGATTGTCCATTAGACAAACGAATCCTATCCCTACCAATGCCCTTGTTTCCTGTTCTTTTTCGTTATGGTCCTTTGCAATTTTTAAAGCTTCCTTGCTATATTCAAATGCTGTTTGAACCTGGTTGCTTCGAATACAAGATGTCGCTAACTCACATAGTACCTTCATTTCTAAATCCTTATCCTCTTGCTCCTTTGCAATTTTCAAAGATTTTCTAAAATATTCAATTGCCGTTTGAAACTCACATTCCAAATGATGAACATCTCCTAACCCACGTAATGCCTTTGCTTCCAGTTTTTTGTACTTTTGTTTCTTTGCAATTTTCAAGGCTTTCTCAAAATATTCAATTGCCATTTGAAACTGATTTTGCAATTTATAAGCAAATCCTATTTCAACTAATGCCCTTGTTTCATGTTCTTTACAGTTTTGCTCCTTTGCAATATCTAAAGCTTCCTCAGAATATTTAATTACTGTTGGAATCTGCTCGTTCTTTATACAAGCAGCTACTAACTCAAATAGTATCATTATTTCTGTTTCTTTATTCCCAAGTTCTTTTGAAATTTCTCTGGCTTTCTCAAAATATTCAATTGCCATTTTAAACTGATTTTTCAATTGATAAGTATGTGCTATCCCAAATGATGCCATTGTTTCCATTTCTTTATTCCCTTGCTCCTTTGCAATGTCTAAAGCATTCTTACAATATTCAATTGCTGTTTCAAACTGGTTGTTCGATACACAAACGACATCATGCAACTCAAATAGTACCTTTGTTTCTTCTTCTTTATCTCCAAGTTCTTTTGAAATTTCCCAGGCTTTTTTAAAGTATTCAATTGCGCTTTCAAATTGATTCTTTGATTGATAGGCACGTCCTAATGTAAAATATGCTTTTGCTTTTTGTTGTTGTTCTCCGTTCATTTCCATATTTTAACCTTAAAATAATGTTTAATGCTAGGTCAATCTGGTAACTCCTTTCTATGAAATGAAGTCCTATATATCATGATGTTGCATTCTTTTATAATGTACTAATCAATTAAACCCCGGCTCCCCGGCCAGGGCGAGGAATTAACGGGGGAATGGCCGTGGATTAACGCGGTTTTAATGCACCATTTCCCCTGGGCTACAGGGTAAATAACAAGTCAATTTATTAGCCGGGACTTTAACGCGCGGCTTATATGAAACTGGACTGGAACGAGTTTTCCTTGTGGCAACGCGGATAAACTCAATCTCATACCCAGAGTATGCCCGTTCGCCAGATTGGGATAAACCCGTTATAGTTTTTCTTAAAAATTATATATATTCTTGATGATAACTGCAAGATAGTCGAAACGTAGATTATTCAGTATATTTTCATGCGGATCAAAGTTTAAGATCAAGAATTGCCTTCACATGTTCTGAACATTTTATAGTACTTTATTTTCCCATTTCCCAAGTAATGAAAATTTGAAAAGTGCCGAGGCCATATAGGGGCGGTAACTTTAAAAGTCAATATTCTCACGGTAGCGGGGAGATTACCAAAATTTAACATTGTCAAAATGTTAATTTCTCCGCCCTATCCGGGAGTCGGGGGGGGGGGGGACGGGATTTCAATCCATTAGTGCACGAGTGCATTATAATTGCTTTACATATATAATATAACCAATTTTGTTTTGCAAATTTATTATTAGCATGACAAAATTACTGAATGCTGATTGGTTGACAGGAGTACGGTTATTTCATTAATTGTACTGCAGTACAATTAATGATTTTCCCAAAACAAACAAAATAGCGGAAAGGTATTTAAAACACAATTGCGAAATGAAATTGCCGTGGAGGAACTAGATGAAAATATGAAAAAGAGCACCAAATTTTGCTTGAACCAAAGAACTAAATGAAAAAATAAACAAAAGCACCAAATTTTGGTTGAAAGTTTGGACTGGGCTTTGGCGAGAGAATATGATGCTGACATTGAAGAGTACGTATCCAATTTTGTCATGCTAATAATAAACAAGTAATCATGCGATGTTGCTCGTACAATTAGGGATTAATAGTACTCGCTATATATTATTGTATTATAATATAGACATCCACCGTATATGAGGTGTTCTGCAATCTGATTGGTTGAATTACTCGCCGTATATCAGCTCATATACGGCGAGTAGCGAAAAACAAGATGGCGGTCCAAAAACTGGATGAGGTTTGCGAAGCAGAAAAAAGGAAAATATTCGCTTTGAGAAAGATAATAGTACAAGGAAAAACTCTCAAAAAAATTTGACAGGTTAGCAAAATACATTTTATTACATAGAAATTAGTTTAAATATAAGTTTTTAAAGAATTAATACCGAAACAACAGCGAAAAAAACATGTTCATTGCATGAGAATATAAAGTGTTCAGAAAAGTTTGCAGCGAAGGACAAATGAATTTGCAGTCAGCAAGCACTTACTATATACTACCAAACATCTGTATAATATATCTGAGCTTTTTTGTGAGATATACCGGTTCTAAAACCATTTATTTCACTTCATCTCCGAATTGTATAACAAAAGTATTTCAACTTTTCAAGGCCAAGCAGTTTTGGCCGAACAAATTGTCAAGACATTGTATAAACAGAGGATAATTAATTATTGCTTTAGTTAATGTCTATTAGACTATATATTATAAAACAATTATACCATGAGCTCGAATCGTATATGAGCTGATAGCAGCTGATAGCCGACTCGGTCGGCTATCAGCTCATTTACGATTCGAGCTCGTGGTATAATTGTTAAATATACCATAATTTAATACAACTATACTTTACAAACATAAACTTAATGAGTAAAGTTCACTTAAATGTATCAAGGATACTAAAAATATAACACAATATAATTATGTTTGTCATCAGTACGGCTGATCAGAATTAGGGAAAGTACATTTATTGCACCGAGGGAGGGGGATGAAGATGTCTTGAAAAAAGCTCATATTTTTACAGGGCCCCTGTTGAGGTTATCGGTAAATTTCGATGCCCCCCCTCCAAGTTTTTAAAATTTCCAATGC